AACAGTTTTTTGTGGATAAATTCGTTTCCATATATTTGACCTACTTTTCACAAGTCATATATAAATGTGAGCCTTGTCTATATTCAAACAAAAGAATGAAATTAACTGAGTAAACATTGTGATTAGAACAAACAAAATCCTTTTATATTCAATTATAGATGAAACATACGCGCATATATTTGTGTGCAACAACATTGGGCTGGTTTACTGTAATCAAGGCGAATATTCTCAAGCATTGAGATGTTATCAGCAAACTCTTGAAATCGAACTCGAGTACTTTGTACTGTCTAATGTTAACTTGGTCTACTCCTTTTACCAATAATCGAAATTGCAAACCATTATCTATTAGGAAAACTGGCGTCAGTATGGGAGCTCCATTAGCCACCATAATTGAAGAGATTTTTATGCAAGACTTCAAAAACAAATTTTCTGTTGAATATAAAGGATTGAATGTTCAATATTCTAAAAGATACGTGGATGATATATTTGCATTAGTAAAACCAAGATTTGCAATTCAAACCATGCTCAATCGGTTGCATCCTTCGATTAGGTTCACACTTGATGAAGAATCACTCAACAGAACATTACCCTTTTTGGATGTCCTTATCATATGAAAAGAAGAGGGTTTTGAGACCGAAGTTTATCGTAAGTCTACCCTTTCAGGATTGATGTAAAATGGAATAGTGTTATACCGAAACGCTACAAACAAATCACAGTCTCAAACATGGTCTTTCGACCAACAAAGATTTGTTCATCCTTTCATGCACTTCATAAAGAATTCGAACTTATCAGAAACTTAGCTAAGAAAAATGGCTATTCTCCTGGCTTTGTTGACTCAGTTATTAAGAAACATTGGGATAGATCATAGGGTTCGTCATCTCAAACAACTAGTTCGATCACTTCTATTGTTGAAAATGTTGTGTTTCGAATACCTTATTTTGGTATAAGCAGTCAAATATATGGAAACGAATTTATCCACAAAAAACTGTTAGAATCATTTACGATGTAAATGCTAAAATTGGAATTGGTTTCAGTCCAAAAGATTCCACATCAGATGAACTACGATCTGGATTAGTCTACGAAGCTAAATGTTCACAATGTGGTGAAACATACATTGGCAAAACTTGTCGTCATCTAAAAGCATGTGTTGATGAACACTTGAAAAATCAGCAGAAAATCATGTCATCACAAATAAAAACTATTTTAAAAACGTGTTGTTGCAAAACAATATAACCAGTCAGCAAAACTCGTTGCACTTAAATCTCAACACGGACCGGTTACAAGATCACAAACTCAGCGATTACAATGGACTGTTGCAAAAATAAGTCAAGAAAATTTGGAAGAAAGTCTCAGTACATTAACTGATGTGAAAGAGAAATCTAATGTCACGGAACCGTAAGCAAAATCAGCTATTGCCAAACATTTCCAGGACATACCATTTTCAGATTTTCGTATTATTTATCAGAGCAACACAGATACAGGTTACTGATTAAGGAATCATTATTAGTTCGAGCTAATGAACCTGTTGAAATGGCACTGATCGTCCTGTTTCCCTTTATATGTTTTTTTCTGACGGGTTGGAGAATGAGAATAAACTTAAAGAAGATATAACACTCTCCTATAAAAAACCACTTATTTACTGAACGTTTTATTGCTAATTCAGAAGCAATAAGTTTGAATTCTCGAATTAGCCGTTTACCAAAATAATACCAACGAACTTATGTTGAGTTTTTCATGGTCTTCCGGTTGACTACGGATGAGCCAGATCAAACCGGTCGCTTTTATTTTATGTTTTTGAGACACTGAAAGTCATTTAAAACCCGATTTTGGGTTCACTCGATAGGCAATTCATTGCTCTACAAATCTATCGACTTTGTTTTTCAAATAGATTTTTCTTGTCGCCTCAAAATTTAAAAGGTTAACACCTGCTCAATCGTCCAATTGTGACGGTCAAAAAACGAAAATATTATGAAAAATTTTTAATAACGGCTGAAACTTCAAATATGCTGCAAAGTTCTCCGTAAAATTCTGCATCTTTTGATGTACGCATCAGAATTATAGAGGAAATATTTTCGATAAAAATTTTTGAAGTAGAAAATGTGAAAACATCAAAAAAATCTCTTTTCTGATAGACCTCTGCTAGGTGTTAGTTCCAAGCCTTTTTCTCCTGAACGATAGCACCAGGAAGCTTAAAAAGGTCGTGGAAGCATAGAGCACAAAATTCTCTATCTATTGATGTTAAATACTTTACTTTTAGCATCGGACTTGATGATCGTAGGCTTACACAAATCGATAGATGTCTGGAGAAAACAGGCAATCGCAGTTGGACGATTGAGTAAGTGTTAAACTTCTAAATTTTGAGGCGACAAGAAAAATTTATTTGAAAAACAAAGTTGATAATTTTGTAGAGCAATAAATTGTCTATCGAGTGAGCTCAAAATCGAGTTTTAAAACGATTTTTAGTGTCTCAAAAACACAAAACAAACGTGGTCTTTGTACGCCTTTCATAGATAATATTGTCTGTTTGTTCAAAAACTCAAAAATATTCATTTTAACTCAATACCTCTCTAGTCCAAAGACTCTCAGTTCGTTACAGTGCTTAACCCAGAAATGCGGCCGTAAGTGAAACTTCGTCCGATCGACCAGTATTGTTCATCATAAAACCTCCGAGTCCTACAAAGAACCGACATCTTCTGGCTGAGGAACTCTACAGATTTCAAAGTAAGCGAACATTTCAAAACAAAAAGCTTGTAAAATAAGAATGTTAGCTTAGAAGTACGAATTAAAACTTTAACCTTAATATAAGAAAAAATTTAATGATGTGACTTTACATATGAAACGACTGATAGAAAATTGCCTATTAGGAAAAAGGTTTTGAAACTATTTTCTGCTGCTCTCGAGTATCAAAACATATTTTCATTCCAACGTAAAAAAGTACCACATCACATCTTATCCGTGACATATGGAACTTTATCGTTCATATCGTGACTAATTAAGATGACGATATGTCTTTCATACCAATAAGATTTGTTTTCAGATCTTTATGCTAAACGAACTTTTTACTCATTATAGAGTACGTCATAGATAAAGAGCTTGTGTAGCCTCTCACATTCATTATTTTTGACAAGTAAATTTTTCTCTTTTAAAACTGATCTTACTTAGAAAAGAATCAATCTTATTCAACATTTTTGAATATTTTTATAACCACACATTTATAATAAGCCCAGAATTTTGACACATTTAACGTATTCACTACTAATAACAAGAGAACATTGAAAATACTTTGCGTATATCATTGTGTTGTGTTCTAGTTACAGATAGAAAAAAAAATTTCAATTCACATTATTTATAGAAAAATTCGTGCACGCACGTGTAATTCAATTTCCGACTATTAGAAAATATTTGTAAATAAGAAAAGTAGGATAGGAATAGTTATCATATATGTCTATAATAACGTTTTTTTGTAGTTACTCATGATGTGATGAGAGATACAAATACATCATATCTGATTGCAGAGATCTTTTAACTTTTGTAAAGATATAACATAATAATCATAATGCTAAAAAAAGGTGTTCATTCAGTTCTTTTAGCACTTCCTTAACATATTATATCTCGTTTTCATTTCATAATATAATAATAAGGATCATACTTTTCTGTTCCTTTTCACCGTTTTTCTTTCCTTTTCTTTTTTTTTCTCACTCTAGCATTTGAACATAATGGTGATCTACCATACTCGGCGAAACAAACAAATTATAATTTTCTAACAGATAAGTTCGCTTTTTGCTTGAAATAAATATATATATATATATATATAAATATATATAAAGGGTGATTTGATTTCAAAAGAAGATATATAGAGAACTTTTGCATAATTTTCTCTCTAATAATTTTCTATCTCTCGTTAGGCCTAGTTGAACACAGAAGAAAAGAAGAAAAATCTATATAGAATACAAAATATCTTCCTTTCCATTTTGCTTGCTCTGTCCATAAACATTTGATACGTATAGCGTTCATTAGCCGAATAGTAAGTATTTACGTAGCAGCAAAGATGAATTCTACTGCTAATGATACTATTAATGGAAGTGAATTTAGTACAACTTTAACATTTACAATTAGTTTTTCAATATTATTAATTATTATCTTGTTCATCGGCATGATTGGAAATTTCTTAGTAATTTATGTTGTTCTCAATTATGGACGATTAAAAACAGTGACAAACACTTATCTATTACATTTAGCCATATCTGATTTGATATTTTTGAGCGGTGTACCATTTTTAGTTGCCGTAATGATATCCAAATATTGGATATTTGGCTATTTTTTATGTAAATTATTTTTTTTGACACAAGGAATTAATCAGTATACGTCGATAATGATATTGGCATTATTAGCGTTTGACAGGTATTTAAAGTAGAAATACGAACAATTTATAGTTAGAAACATGCCAAAAGTCACAATTATCTCTGGTTTGAATGACAAGAAAGAATACCCTGGTTTATGTTTCTACCATATTAGTATAACGTGCTGACAAGCCGCTGAGAGACTTGTCAGCTTCAAGTGATCTGGTATCTTCCCTGCATCTGACAATTTTCGAAAATGTTCACCAGTATTTGTTCAGAACTACAGCTCTGAACAGAAGGTCAGCTTAACACTAAGCTTTTTCGAGCAATTACTTGATTTCTTCATATACATTTACTAGATTTGGACTAACTCTCTGATAAGTTAGAGAAACTCACGTAGACATGAGTAACTTGCCTAAGGCGATAATACAATCTGATTAGGCCGAAATTCGAACACAGTATCTCTGAAATATGTGACGAACAGTACACTCGTCAAATTATGTTGTTACATGCTTTTCTGTATACATTTGAGAATTTTCTTTGTCAATACAGGTACTTGGCTGTATGTTATTCATCAAAATCACTTGCTTGGAGAAGTAAAATAAATCCAAATTTTTTATTACTTTTAACATGGATTTTATCATTAATTTTAATGTTACCCATTATTATTTTTACTCAATTAGTAGAACATAGTCAAAATCATTATTCATGTAATATTATCTTACCATTTGAGCAAACACGTGTATTATATCTACTCTATTCAACATATACATCTGCCATAACTTTTATATTTCCATTAATTCTAATGACTTATTTTTATATACAAATTATTCGTCGTATGAAAAAAAATATTCCTCAACATCGACGATCACGTACAAGTTTACGTACAAGACGTAAAGTGTCGATACTTGTTTTAGCCGTTATCGGTGTTCATGTGTTCTGTTGTTCACCATATTGGTGTTTTCAATATTTTATTGGTGTATTAACAACATCCGAAGTTTTAGTTATTAATCCTCGATATATTATTCTAATTTCAACTGTCGCACAATTTCTACTCTTTGCTAATAGTACAACAAATCCTCTATTATATGCATTTTTAAGTGAAGTATTCCGTTCAAGTTTTACACGTGTATTCCATTGTTGTACAAAGGATCCCACATATCTTGAAGGAACAGTTAATAAACAAAATCAATTAATGGAAAACTTAAGACAGCGGAATAATACAATTAAGATAACATTGACAACTTCATTAGACGATAATAATATTGGTCGAAAAGTCAGTAAAAAAGCACAATTTAATAGTTTAGATCCACTCCTTAGACAAGAACCATTGTCGAGAAATTCCAGCATATTTACATCGGAAAAATCGTTTTGCTCAGAGATGTAATGACTGTTAATGTTGTGATTGTACATTCTAGCTGACATAAATAAAAAAGAAAAAGAAAAGAAAACAAGCTAAAAACATTAGTATTAGTGATTTCAAAACTATGAATAGGTTAAATAAGGGATTAGTATTTTTTTCTATTTGCTTAATGAATATTTAGTCATTTTGGTATATATAATAATTCCTACTTTTTTAAAAAGCTTTCGTCTACTTTAATAACAAAAAATCCATAGCATTCTATTTAATATGAGAACAGCTGCTAGATTGAAACATATATATAAAATTGTTTTTAAAAATGAAATTTTTATTTAACACATTCTAGTATTTTTCTTGTTTTTAGAAAATTCTCGTATTTGAGCTGGTTTAATTTTAAAAAAAGGAAATGCAAATATATAAGACAAGCATCATTTCTTAGAAATATGTCTTTAAATACTAGATGAGCTTAGTTTATAAGATAAATTTCTATATGAAAATATCCAAATTATTGCACAGAGCAAAAAATTTTTATTACGAAAAGTTATAAGACTTCAATGACATCCACTTTTCTCTCTTCTTTTCAAGAGAGTTTATTGAAAAAGAAATACTGTACTAGATGTATTCAAGTGTTCTCTAAACGATACACTATTGGAAAAATATTTTATCTTTTATTTATTTCACAGGAAAAAAGTTATCATAAAATATATCTTTTTTTTTCATTAAAAAATATAGGACCACTATAGTTTTTATCTTTTTCTAGATAGATCTAACCGATTTTTAATGATATAAGTTGAAAGAGTATAATGGGAGGAGCGCACATTTTTAGATTTATAATTGTGAAACCTTGATAATCTTTGAAATTAGCTTTTTGTAGAATTTTCCGGTAATGACTTTAAAAGTACTACTATTTAAAAAAGTATTTAATTGTCCGTTTATAAAGTATTTCTTTGTTATCAGTAATTAATTAATCAGGTTGGTCTTCAATCTCTGTTGAATGAATAACAACGGTAAAGGCAATGTGACTTAGGGTTGTAACCGGTCTGGAAATACTAGACCGGTCCGGTCCGGCCAGTCTAAAAATATTTCCAGACTGGTAAAAACCGGCGAGTTCATCAAGTTTTTTCAAGTAATAACATTGATATTAGGAACAAAATTTGTAGTGTGTAAATGTAATAGTCTGTCTCAAGCAGTCATTTGTCGAATGACGAAACGTCACGAATAATTTGAAAATAAATTTGGAAAG